TAGGCCTGAAACGTCGGCCTTCCTGCTCCTCTGATGCTGCTTGGCCTGCTGTGTTCATCCAGCTCTACACCTTGTTATCTCAGATTCTCCAGCATCTGCAGTTCCTGCTATCTCAGTAACTTTTTAACCTATTTTTTCCCGAATTTACCTGGGCAGAAAATGTTATCGCACACCTCTACAGCAGGTGGGACGTCAACCTGGTCTCTCGGTCTAAGGATAGGAACAGCACCACCACGCCACAACAGGCCCCCAAAATGGGGATACATTCAGAACTCAGAATCGTTCATTTGTTGCATTTTAGTTTGTGAGCAGTTAAGAGCAAGAGGGGCCTGTCTGAAGCTTGGGAGTCCAGCTCACACTCGTCCCTTTCTCTTCAGGAAGGCACAGGCAAGCGTCGGCGTCGCGATTTTAACCCGGCAAGCGGGGAACGCGCCGTTATTCGGGGCGGATTTTAACCGCAGCAACCGCACCAGACGTTTTTCGCTCACACTCACTGTACGTCCCCTACCCATTGCGACATTACGCCCATCCATCCGACCGACCGCCCGCCCACTTTCCTCCCCTTCCCTCTCTCAGCGCAATTTCCGGCGGTAGTCCTGTCCTTCTGAAACCCAAATTAACACCGAGGCGCTCACCTCGAATCTTAACCGTGGCTCTACTTTCCCCAGCCATGGCTGCTAGGAGGGGTAAAGTGGCCCGCCGGTTTTCAGACACTTCCCTGGAGGTGCTGGTGGCGGCGGTCAGAGCCAGAGCCAAAGTGCTTTTTCCCCGCTCTGGGAAGAAGGTTCACAGCAGTCTATCCAAGAAAGCGTGGCTGGAAGTGGCCGAGGAGGTCAGCAGACTGAGCATCACCCCCAGGACCTGGATCCAGTGCCGGAAGAGATTCAATGATCTCACTCGTTCAGCCAGAGTAAGTAAAGATTCAAATAACATATGTATATGCAGAAAGCGTTGAAGAAACTCATCAGGTCAGGCAGCATCTGTAGAGGCAGAAAAGAGATGTTTGGGATCCATTTCAGAACCCTTCGGCGTCTCCCACACATTCATCTGTAGATTTACAGCACAGGAAGATGCCACTTTCCTACTATTCAGCCCATCTTGTCTGCGAGGACAAAACTAGCCAACCATTCTCATTCCTACTTTCCTGCACCCAGGGCTTTGCAGGTGTAGATCCAGGGTTTCCACTTCCACCACCAAATTGGGAACAAATTCCAGACCTCCACCCCAGGTGGCAAACTTCAACCTTTACTCCTTCTGCCTCCCAGAAGCACCTGCCAAATGGATATTTGGAGACGTGGCTCTCAGATTGGGCTCATCAGGCACACAGGGAACCACAGAACCCCTAACCAGTGACACAGAATGCCCTAAGTGGACAAACATACTCATTAGCGAGGGATTGCTGACAACTCTTTCTCCGATCATCTTAAATCTGGACCCTCTTAACTGACCTCTTGGCTAGTGGAGACAGGGCTTCTCTGTTCATTCTGTCCAATTCCATCAATATTGTTAAAGCACTCCCTCCCTGTTCAAAGAAAGACAATCTACCTCAGGACACCGCAATTTTCAAGTCCCGTCATATTGCAACAAGTCAAAGACCCAGGGCCTTCATCTGACAGCATGTGGACAACCACTGCCCCTGTGGCACGAACCCACCCCGATGCAGGACATGCTGTACCCTGGAAATTCACCATGGATCTTTAGACAGCACCTTTAAAACCCACAACCACTACCATGCAAAAGGATAAGGGCAGGAGATAAGTGGAAATGCCATCAACTGTAAATTTCCCTCCAACACACTCGTTATCCTGACTTGGAAACACTGTTCCTAACAATCACTGGGTCAAAAACCTGGAACGCCCAAGGGCATTGTGGGCATACCTGTAGCACGTGGACTGCAGGAAGGCAAGTCACCACCACTTTCCTCGGGGTAATTAGGGACAGGAAATAAATTCTGGTGCAGCCCATAACACCCATGTCCCTGAATAAATTAAAAGAAAAACCTTTCGCACTCAGAGTACACATGCATACCATTACCACCTGTGTGTTTCACATCAAGGTAAGTATGCAGGCTATTCAGCCCCTCATGCTTGTTCTGCCATTCAGTGAGATCATGAATGTCCTGATCTTAACTCAACAACCATATGTTAAACTAATTCGGAGTGGAAGTAGTTCTCCCATTTTCGTGCCAATTTGAGCATGCTTTGCCCGTAGGTCTCAAAGGTTTTAGAGTAGATTTGTAGCTCGGGTTGTGGATGTTGTGGTTGGTTGGCTCACCGAGCTGGTTCGTTGTTTTTCCGCACGGAAGACTACGCCAAACGACAGAGCGCTACCCGCGAACAACTCTACTTCCTACATGGATGCCTTAGGAACCAGGTATTACCATGCTGTGTGAAATACAAACCCTCCCCATCAACAATCCACAAGCTCGCAAAATAGCAGAATGCGGAAGAAACAACAAACCAGCTCGGCGAGCCAACCAACCACAATGTCCATAACCCAAGCTACAAATCTACTCTAAAGCCTTAGAAACCCTATAATTTCCTTTCAAAGTCCTGAAATAAAACTACAACCAATCTGATCGTGCATTTCTCCTTGTGACTCTTCCTCAGCTGACATTTACAAAGACCCCAGTTCACACTCAGACATATGACCTTTAACTGATAAATATCTCAAACTATTCAATGTGTCTGCCTCACCAAAAGACAGAGTTCTGCGACTTTGCAAGAAAATTCTTGAATCCCAACTTCCATCCCCACAGCATTTTGCAGACAAGAACGAGAACTAATCTATCAATTTAGTGAACTTAATTTGACAACATATGATGCATAAACTTCAATAGGAGATGCATAGAACCACAAATGATACAGCACAGAAAGGAGCCATTTGGCCTATCTTGTCTGTAGGGACCCAGAGACAAGGTCAGAAGTCACATAACACTAGGTTATAATCCAACAGGTTTATTTGAAATCACAAGGTTTTGGAGCACTGCTCCTTCCTCAGGTGCACTATATAACCTGGTGTTGTGTGACTTCTGACCTTGTCCACCCAGTCCAACACCGCACTTCCACATCACCATCCAGAGGCACTCAGATGCTCTTTTCTAATCCCCCTTTCCTGCATTTTCCATAGCCCTGCAGCCCACAGCACTTCAAGTGCAGATCTAAGTCCTGTGGATTGCAGATTTTTGTTCTATAAACGTAGAAATCTTGCATTTAAAAAAAAAGGTTCATTTGAATCTTAATAATTGTGCGACCCTTTTATTATTCGGTTCTTCATTTCTGTTTCAATGATTATTTGTTTTACTTGTATTGTCTCATCATGGTCTTTCCAGTTAATCGGTCGATCTCATCCCTTCTGATTCGCAGGAAAAGGCAGCGCACAACATGAGGGAAAGGAGCAGGTTAGGCGGGGGTACAACTGATGTTGTAGCTCTCAGCCCTGTAGAGCAATCAGCGATGGACATCAGCGGGACATCGAAAGCGATCAGCATTGGGGATGGCGAGGCCGGCGGATTCTCCAAGCATACCGACTGCTTCACGATCGTGCCTCTTCACATGGCCCAGGCGATTCCAGTCAGCATCAAAACCTCGCCCAGTATGGCCAAAGCTCTCAATCTGCAAGCGGTAGCCTTTTCGAGTTGAGAATTCCTTCCGCTGCCAACCCTGACTCTCGCCCCGTTTTTGTTTCTTTTCTCTCCCGCAGGTCCGCCTCCTCCTCGGGAAGTTTTCGAAGAGGAGCCTTCGGAGGAGGACAAACCCGCGGCCTCCCTCTCGAGCGGTAGCGCTGAGCTGGCCGAGCCCGAGCAGGACAAGAACGAGGCCGAGGGCCCGGCTCCGCTCAGCGGGACGGAGCGGGAACGGGAGGGCCCGGGCCCGGGCCCGGAGATGTCGCGCCGGCGGGCCTTACCTTCCCCCGGTCCCGCCGATTGGGACGGGGACTCGGACCTGCGGGACCCGGCCATCAAGAGGAAGATGCTGGAAGCTCATCAACGGCTGTACCAGGTGTTGGAAGGCCTGCCGAAGACTCTGAGCGCCATGTCCGAGAGCATGGAGGAGAGCACCTCCGCCATGTGCGGGGTGGTGTCGCACGTGGTTTCCACTCTGCAGTCCACCCTGGAAAGCACGACCACCCCCCGGGAGAGTGCGTTGGCCGAGCCCCCTCAGCCGGAGACCCCGTCGCCCACCGTCGAGGCTTTGATCGAAGCTCAAACGGCCGCCATCCAGGCGCTGGGCGCCAACGTTTGCTCAGCCTTGGAGAGGATGGCGGGTCAGCTGGACACCTTGGTGGATCGCGTGGACCGGGGCTTCGAGACTGTCTCCCACCTCTTGCGGTCCGCCCTGCCTCAGACGGGCGGCAGTGAGGAGACGAAGCCCCGCGCGGGCGGCGGCGCGAGCTGCCCTTTCCCGCCAAGCCCTCTGCCTTGCGCTGCCCTGGTGCCAAACCGTCAGCTGAGCCAGGGGGCGCTAGCGGCCGCCCCTAAGGCGCTGCAGCCGGAGGGCACGCCCCCGCGAGCGCGCGCCCCCAGGAGCCAACGGTCGCCGCGAGCATCCCAGGAGGCGCCCGCTAATTCTTGCTTGACAGGAGGAACGTCTCGTAGGAGTGGCAAAGTGAGTAAACCTTGCCGTAAAAGAAAACAAATCAAGTCACGTACAGACTTAAACAGGTATTACAGCACGCAAACGGACCCAACTTGTCCATTGGCGCCTGAGTTTGTGACCCTTTCATCCAGTTTGATGTGCAGTGCTTTCTGGAAGCGGCTCATAACTTGCCCTGTCAATACAAACTACCTCCCAGGTTCTACCGTCAATAAATGTGGAGCTGGAAAAGCACAGCAGGTCAGACAGCATCCCGACAAAGGGTTTCGTCTGGAAACGTTCACTTTCCCTGCTCCTGGGATGCTGTTTGACTTGCTGTGCTTTTCCAGCTCCACATTTATTGACTCCCAGGATCTAGCCTTTGCTTCATTAAATCAAAACCCAAAGAACTGCCGGTGCTGGAAATAAGAAGCAAAAGCAGAAATTGGAGCCCTGCTGGTTACATCTGAGTCTGGTTGGGGGCAAGATTTAATGAAGCAAATTGCTGGAAAATCTCAGCAGGTCTACGGCAGCATCCATGGACAGAAATCAGAGTTAAAATTTTGGGTCCAGTGATCCTTACTCAGTACTAGAGGACCGAAAAAATTAAATCTTGTCTCCACAGATGCTGTCACAGACCTGCTGTGCTTTTCCAGCAATTTGCTCCATTAAATCTTACCTCCACCTCGACTCAGATGTAACCAACAAGGCTCCTATCCCATCTTTTCATGGTGACTCGAGATGGACCAACAAAGCAATCCCGCTTTAGGGATAAAAATGCCTCCCTAAATCTCTACTGCTCCCACTTTGTGTAACAGCATCCAGGCTTGTACAGCATTACCTATGCTGCCAGGCTGTTCTCCATGTCAATGTGAACCTGTTATTACAACTTCAAAGTTAAGGACATCAGCTTCTACACTATGTGAAGGACTGAGACAAATGGGAACAACTGTTGTAATATTTTAAATAGATTGAGATGGCTGGGATTGCATAAAAAGTTCAAAAGGATATAGTTTAGCCGCATAGTAAATAGAAGCCATTTGGCCCATCAAGACTGTTTTGCCATTCAGTATTTTCATGGCATATGCACATCCTCTATCTCAAAGACATACTCCCACATCTTCCCCTTGATGTCTTTAATCTATCCATTTCTTAGGTATACCCAGTGCCTTGACACCTAAGGAAGCTGTGAATTCTACAGATTCACCACTGTCTTAATAAGGAAGAGGTGTACTCTGTACCCTGAGACCACAACCCCTTGTTTTAGATTTCTAACCAAGACCAATCTATCCATATCTGTCAGAATTCTATGTATTTCAAAGAGATCCCCTATCATTTTTCTAAACTCCAGTAAATACAGGCTTGAAGACTAAAACTGAACATGACACCCTGGATGTTGTCTCACCAACAACTGCAACAAGACATCCCTGCTCCTTTACTGGAACCCTTTTGCAATGAAGGCTAACATACCATTTGCCTTCATTATTGCTTGCTGTCCCTGTTTGCCTGCTTTCAGTGATGTATATACAGGGGCAACCAGGTCTGTTTATACATCATCATTTCCCAATCTATCTCCATTTAATTAATATTTTGCCATTCTGTTTTTCCTTCTGAAGTGGACAACTTCATATTTATCCATGTTATACTGCATGTACTGCATATTTGCTGACTTATTGAACATTTTTTTACTGCTTTGAAACCATTTTACTCCCTTCTCACCGCTCACAATTTGACCCAGTTTTGTGTGGTTGGCAAACTTGGAAATATTATATCCGATTCCCTCATCCAGATTGTTGTTATATTTTGTGAATAGCCTGGGCCCAAACACTGATCCCTGTGGAACTCACCTTTCACTTTGAAAAAGATATTTATTTGTGCTCTCTGTTTCTTGTTTGCTGACCAATTCTCAATCCATGCCAGTATATTATCCCCAATCCCATGTGCCTTATTCTTGCACATTAATCCCTTATGTGGGACTTCAACAAAAGCCTTCTGAAAATCTAAATAAACCACACGTACTGGCTGTATGATAAGAAGCATAGTCAGTGAGATTCAGATATGTGCAAGGAGAGCCCCAGTGGATTTCAAACCCATTGCTGTAACCATCTGCTGATCGCAATAAGCCTAACAACTGGTTTCCTGCCAATTCCATTTTTACGGAAGGAGCTGGTTTTCCCCAAAGTGTCTGTGCAAACTCCTTGGCAGAACACTACTGAGTGCATGAGAGGATTTACGCTGTCCCATTGAAATCTTTGCACTGTGCCATCTGAACCTTACCCTGTCCAATTAGAGCCTCACCTTTATCTGTTGGCTGGAGTTTCTGCCATTTTCTCATTTTATTTGAGATCATTTTAGATCCATCTTCCAAACATTTACCCTTAATTTGGCTTCTTAAATCTTAAATTATTTCCACCATAATTCATAGTGCACTTAGAATTATTTAGCAAATATTATTCAGTCACCGAATCTTGTTTAATGTTGGACTCTTTTTTTGAATATTGCAAGCACAAGCTGGTTGTATATAGTCAGCATCTTGATGATACCAGAACATTTTCCGGATTGATCAAAGATATTTGATTGCTCTAGGTGTCATGGTTAAGAGGATTCTGAACTCTGGTTAGCATAGAACAAAATCCTTAAGAATCTCAAGACTCCTGGACAGTGACTTCCACCATGACGAAGCACATGGGGTGAAGCAGAGAGAGGAATGACATGATTGTCATTGGATGTAGAGTTTTCAGATTGGGCACAGGCCAGGAGTTATTTTTAAACCACTGCTGTGCCGACTTTGAAAAGAGATTTATTTTCCTTTGAGGTTCTGCTCAGCACATTTGCAGATCACTTGATACTTAAGGCACAGACTGATTAGGGATAGTCAACATGGCTTTGGAAATCATGTCTCACTAATTTGATTGACTTTTTTAAAGAAGTAACAAAGAGGATTGATGAGGCCAGAGCAGTGGATGTGATCTATATGGACTTCAGTTAGGTATTTCATAAGGTTCCTCCTGGTAGACTGGTTAGCAAGGTTAGATCACATGGAATGCAGGGAGAACTAGCTATTTAGATAGAGAACTGGCTCGAAGGTAGAAGACAGAGGGTGGTAGCGGGGCATTGCTTTTCAGACTGGAGGCTTGTGACTAGCGGTGTGCCACAAGGATCGGTGCTGGGTCCACTGTTTTTTTGTCACTTATATAAATGATTTGGATATGAACATAGAAGATAGTAAATTCGCAGATAACACTAAAATTGGAGGTGTAGTGGACAGTGAAGATGGTTAGCTCAGAGTACAACGGGATCTTGATCAGATGGGCCAATGGGCCAAGGAGTGGCAGATGGAA